TTTTCTAAGAATATGTAATAATTCAAGAAAAGACTTTAGTTTGCTGAGAGAAAATCAGGAACAAAATTGGTTAGATAAAATTTTATTTGTGAAATACAAACATTTTATCAAATTACCTAGATTTTCTATAATGAATAAATGAAGTGTATAATTTACTTATACTTAAAAAAGTAAACTTCTTAAAACTATACAATGATAAGTATTCCGGTGATTATAATCATAATATGCAGTCTTATGGTTAAATAAGAAACAATTATTCTTTGAGGTAAGATTACTGGGAGTTTGCTTTTAAGAGATTTTCTTTAGAAAAGCATTTGGGTGTTTTAGAGTAATTGACCATACTGAGCAGAACGTCTTCCTATGCAGATGACTAATATGATCAAAACAGCATAATCAAGAGATGTTTGTATGATAAGTGTAGAGCATACRATATCTGAAAATAAAGTTTATATAAGGTGAATTAGGTAGTCATTAYTTTCTATAACCATCCTGGCATCTGTAGAAGTATAAGAATCTATAGAGATTCTTCATAAGTCTCAGTGTGYATTTGTGGCTGTAAGCATATCCTGAATAGCACATGAAAGATTTTGAGATGCACCAAATGTACATTTTATGTTATGGAGTAAAAGGTCTACCAGCTGTACCTACATAAGCCTTTACTGATCCAGGTGCTCAGCTTGTCAGAGAGATGGGGAAAACAGCTCTTGACAAAATCCTCAAAGGTCACTGTTGCTAGGGCATTGATGCTGGCAGCCACGGTACTAAAGGGAAAGAAAAGCAAGAACATAGTTCAAACTAAACAAGGCTAAGCCATCAACCTGCCCTATCATCCAAGGCAGATAGACAAAGGAGAGGTCTATAAAAAGGAGATGTCGACATATGTCCATGTTCTGGAACTTCGGAGGAATACATAGCCTGTACTCATTCATCATAATTTCTTCTGCAATAATGCTCTTTCAATTATTCCACAAACTACACAGAAAAAGTTAGACTTTTATGTTCTGACTCCCATTAATTCCTCTTAGTGAATAGTTAATAAGTTAGCAGGGAATAAAAGAGGGAGTGTGTGTGTGTGTGTGTGTGTGTGTGTGTGTGTGTATTTAGGTTGGAGTGGAGCTGGAAGTAATGACTATCTTAACCAAAGAATCAGTTTGCCACTGATTCATAATTCATAAATTAATGTGTCTGCTTTTTAATTCTTTGTACTAGGCATACAATGGTGAACAGAAAGAAACATGGGTCTTACACTCTTAACTAGGAATGCAGATATTTAAAACCAATTATACAATTGATTCCAGTTGTGAAATTGTTAGGAAAACAAGATTCCATAAAAACATGCCCCAAAGAGACCTAAACAGACTATCCACAAGATTCCCTTTAGGAAGTGGGAAATAAAGACAGGTATTGAAAGGAGTCATGCAAAGTAAGAAAAGATGTTTGGAGGATGAAGRGAAAATTATATAGAGGCACCTTGACGGATAGGCACTTCTCCTTCTTTTTACATTCTGAAGCCCCCTTGGTAGCTGGAATGCAGAAGAGGTCAGACAGAGAAACAGCAAAACCAAAAATGCATAAGAGTTCTGATGTTCCCTCTGACTTTCCTTCAGAGTTCCCTCCTACTAGACCTAAAACTTGTTTGGATGTCAGAAAGTTTGAAACTTTAGGTTTTCTTTGTAGAATAGCATGAAATCTTATTTAATTCTTCATGTAGACCAGAATATTTTAGCTGCT